TTCACGTGTGAGATCACTTCATGCAGACCCAGGAAGCCAAAAAGCTGAGTGACAACACGTTGACCTGGGCATTCCAAACACCAGCGGTCGGATGTGAGCGGCTGCTGCCCAGCTTGGCAGCCAGACAGAAGGGACTGCTGGTGCTTCCTGCCTCTTCCAGGAGATGCAGAATCCAGGGTGACACTTTTAAAGAGCAAAACACCAGCGCTGGCAGTGAGAGGAGGATGTGCAGGCACCTGCTGAGGGCTCCTGCAGCCACTCCACACAGACCACTGTGGACGTGGAGATGGGCTGCCAGGATCCCAGTGTGATCCCAATGGATCCTGCACCTGTGTGGGTATTAGCCTGTCACATGGAATGTCAGCCTGAAGGGTGATGCAGCTGCATTTCCTTAATGCATTATTAAAACTGGTATCTTGCTCCTCTAAATTGGCTTAAGATGTTCATCAAAGATCCCACTGCTCTGCCGCTGTGCTCTGCCAACCAGGGGATTTTGTCCTCAGTGCTTCCAGGGTGGTTGTGGCTGCTGAGAAGGTCAAACTGCCCCTTGTTCCTTTTGTGCATTTTGTACCTCCCCATTTCGGAATTCTCTCCCAGGATTTTTCCCTGGGTGATCCTTACCCGTGTGAAAGGAGACAGTTGATGGCACATCAGCGTGTCTGATGCGCAAAGGCCGTAAAACCTTTGTTATGAAGGAAGACGTCCCCAAACAGCCTTCACAGCTGCCATATAAAAAGAGTTTAAGGGAGAAAAGCCCTCTCTGGGAGAAGCCTGGGCTCCTGTGAGCACAAGAGGATCCTGCTGGAGGAGAAGCTGCCTCTGCAGCACGGCCCAGGAGCCGTGTGTGGGCACAGCATCACAACGTGCTGGGTGATGCTGCACACGGATGATTCGGCACATTCCCACAGATCCCGCAGGCAGGAGCGCCCGGCACTCCCAGCCCTTCCCACTGAAACCAAAAATCAGCCCCAAAGTGGGGAGGAATTAGGTTTGTGCTGCTCTTTCCTGTCAGAAGAAGGCACGGGGTTACCACGATGGGAACTGAGGGCTCTGCTGGTTCTTCCATTAGAAACCGAGCTTTTGGCCAGTCCCTAAAATCAGTGACAACAGGCCAAACAGCACAAATGCATCCTAAAACCTGCGGTCTGGCACTGGACTGGGGAGACTCTTGGTGTAGAAAATTCTGAGAATTTCCTTCATTCACACCAACTTAATTGCCTGAAGAACACCTGCAGGGAAGGCTGGTGTAAAGTGTGAGTAGTGACAGCTCACATTTATTAGATCCCCCAGCAAAACCAGGGGCAGTTGCTGCTCAAGCATAGGAAAGGTTAAAAATGAGGACAGTTTTTCCAGCTCCTTTCAGAACTTTGCTGCCCACCTCAAAAGCACAAAAGTGATGCAGATCTGCTGCTTTATTTCTAACATTTCTGACCTGCTGGCAGTTCACAGAAAGGCTGAGAAACAGCAAGAAACTGAAGATTCAAGGGCAAACGAAATGGGAACAGCCACAAAATTGGACAAGTATCAATATTTACTGGGCAGGAAGCAGCACAGTGTGTAGTGTTACGCAAAGCCCATTATTTATTCCATGGGTATCCAGCCACAGCTCACTCGAAGGACTGGAAGCCACGGAGGCTCGAGTGCTTTTCCAGTGCTGCTCCTCTGAAAGGCAAGTTTAAAAGCTTTACCTGCAATAAAGCTGAGCTGTGAGTGAGCAACACAAGGCATCAGTTTTACACACAGTATTCAGCAGGTTTCCATGTGGTTTTATGCGCTGGGCAGACACAGCGTTTTCTTTTCTTCTCATTTCCAGGCTTTTTGAGCAGAGAACTGGGATCCACGAGCGTGGCGGTGTCCGAGCTCCCTGTCAGACACCTGGCCCTGCCCTGCTGACCTCACCTGGTGCTGCTGCAGAGGGAGAACAAAACGTGGAAGCTGCTGCTCCAGCCCCGAGGAACCCGCGTCAGGTCCTGCCGCGAACACGCCACGGGCTCTGCGAGGACAGAAACAGGTGTTTACTCCTTCCTACACGATTTGTTTGATCTCTTCCCTCGATCCCCTTCCCAGGCCAGCACATCTCCATGTAAATCCCACGTGAAAATTTTCTCTCCAGGAAGCTCAGGCTGTGTGAGCGCCGGCTGGCTCGTGGAATACCCATAATTACACTTCAGGAAACCTTCAGGGTTTTATATAGGCTTTATATAGGTTCAGACAGTCTAAGAAATAAAATAGAAACAGAAGAGTCCTGGCCAACTTCTGCCGGCCTATAGACTTATTGGGTATTCCAGTCCAAGGAAAGCAGGAATGTAAGTATTCCTGTCCAAAAATATCCCGTTAAGACTATTTTATTTTAATCACAGCTGCGCTAAAAAATACACAGTTCTCTTACACCATCCAATCGTCTTTTCTGGTAGGATGAAAGCACATTTTTCATGTCTTTTTATTACAATCATCTTGCAGACAGACGTGCCGAGAGCTGAGTCAAGGTTGGAGATTCCCATTGTACACGTCCACCAAACTCACACTGCACACATCAATAACCCGCACAAGGTTGTTGCACAACTCTGCCTAAACTAGTTGGAGTCTGAAGAGAGCAGGTAAAACATGCCAGGTTTATCTGGAGGAGGGTGAGGATCCCCGAGGCTGAGCCCGGGCTCTGCACCGTGTGGTGCTCGTGCTCATATTAATGAACTGCTTTATTGGGGGATCAATCGGCACCACCGCGAGTTTTATTGACTTTATAATTAGCAGTATCTTACTTTTGCTTGAATAAAGCTGTTTTCCCCTAACATAAAATCCATCGTTTCCAGCCCGTTATTTGCATAGGAACGTTCCGAGCCGCTTTGGCGCTCGCTGCCCGTGGGTTTCGCCGGGAGGGCTCCGGGCACACTGTCCCTGTCCCTGCCCATCCCGCGGGGACACCTCGGGCTCTCTCCCGCCGCCTCCCGCGGCCCCTCTGGTCCCGCAGCCGGGCCCGGGGGGACCTTTCCTACAACTCATCGGAGGTCGCCGCTTCCCCGAGGAGGGGTTCGAGGGCTGTGGCTCCCCCTCCTCCCTTTCCGGAGACCCCCCAACCAGCCCCGTCCATCCCCGGCCGCGCCCGGATCCCGCTGCTCCCGCCGGGATACCTGGAGCTTCCCAGGGCTCCGCGAGGAGCGGGTGGAAGACCCCGTTGTGAGGGGGTAGGAGCCCACCCTGTTACCCCCCAGAGCGACCCGGAGCCACGCCGGGCTCTGCCGGGTGCGGGAGGCTCCGATCCAATCCCCCCCTCCCCCGTCCCCGCCATCCCTCCCTGGAAAACATTCCGAGCCGTTCCACTTTCCTCGATTTTATTACCTGAGGGAACCTGACAAGAACTTGTAAAGACACAATTGCTATAGAGCTTCCACCGGCCGGTTTGGCTGCAACAGAAAAGCCACCGCGAACGCCGCGCCCCGGGGGTTCGTGCGGCCGAAACTCGGGAAAAACTCAGATAAAGTGGTTTAAAAAAAAAAAAAAAAAAAAAAGAGATGCGCTTCCTCGTCGTGCTGAGCGCTATCGGCGTGTCGCGATATCTACGGAGCAGAAAGAAACGTGCGAGCTCTACAGAAGGGTGTAAACACAGAAAAGAAAGAACATCACCGATGGTTGGACATCGACAGTACCAGGAGGGAGGTGAAACCGTCCCCCAAACCGTCCCCCCTTCAGTCAATAGGTCGCAAAGTGTCTTAAATTCATTACTTGGCACTTATTGAAATTCGTGACGTCGAAAATGGATTAAAAAAGGTGAAGCAAACCTGAGTCAAACAAAATATATTGTACTGACAACAAATGCAATGAGATAACAGCATCTTGCTTTCTTTTTTTTTTTCATTTTCTTTTTTAAATAACTTAAAATACACTAGAAAAAATATGGTCAATATAAATAATTTTGTTTTCATGGAGAACAAATAGATACAAAGCCCGTCCATACCAAAGTTCACGTAGAAGAGCTTTCCCTCTGTCTTGGCAATAAGCTTGAGGGTCTGATGGCAAAATCTGGGATAACAATCACCGACTGCAGGGTGCCCCAGGTTAAATAGCTATACGTCTCTCAAATAATAATAATAATAACCAAAAAAATCACAAGATTACGTGAATAGATACACCTTTATGAGATAAAATGTAAATGTTTGACAGTCAACTATCAATTCACAAGTTATAGCCAAAATAAACTTTGTTCGTGTGTATCAACATATTTTACATGTACCCAGTACCTCTTATTGGAATTTGCCGTGGTGTCAAGTGGTGGTTGGGAATTAAATACTCTTTTTTTTTTCGTTTTCTTTTTTTTTTTTCTCATTTGTTTTTGCCCTCAGGACAGGAGAGACCCGGCAAAGCGAGGCACACTCCGCTCTCCTGATGCTTTCCGCTCCCTTTTATTTCAGAGGTGGGACAGCAAACGACCAACAAAGATTTAAGAGTGGAAAAGGTAGTGCTTGATCTCCCTCTCTCTGCCTGCTTCCCTCCAAGATTAAAGGAGAAAGAACCCAGCCACGTTTGTTTGTTTGGTTTTGTGGTTGTCTTGTTTTTTTCTACTAAAGATGAGGGTGAAGTGCAAGTGAATCAAAGGACTCCATCAATGAAATACAAATACATGCAACCCGGAATGCTGCTGGAGGAAGTATCCCGGACAGTTTCCCATTAGAAATTCGCAGAGAAATCAGTCTTTTTTTCTTTTTTCCCTTTTTTTTTTCCTCTTCATCGTCTCTCTTCTTCTTTTTTTTTTATTTTTTTTTTCTCCTTTTTTTTTGTCGCTATTCCAGACGTGGTTGTTAAACTCAAGTATCTGATGCAACGTGAAGGGAGGCCCGCCTCTCTTATCAAATTTCTTGTATTAAAGTGAACTTCGCAGAAAAAGGTCAGTTTCAAAACCTGTGAACTTCCCAGCTGCGCGTCGAGTTCCTCTAATTCCTTAAATAACTATATATCTCCCGTCCGTTTCTCTTTTTTTCTTTCCTTTTTTTTTGTTTTGTTGGGGTTTTTTTCCCCCCACTTTTTTTTTTTACTTTTTTTTTTTTGTTTTCCCCCCTCTCTCCTTTTAAAAAAGCGGCGAGGGGGGCGGTCACAGCCCCAGGGCGGCGGCGTGTTTCTTGGCCTTCAGGCGGAGGTCCGCGATGCTGGAGTTCTTGCTGGTGGTCTTGGCGGCGGCGGCCGCGGCCACCACGGAGGCGGCGGAGGCGGACTCGGCGAGGGTGGCGAGCGGGAGCCCGAAGGGGGGGGCCGGGAACATCATGTAGGGAGCGTGGGCGAGGTGCGGGTGCAGGTGGTGATGCGCGTGGGCCACGGCGCTGTCCAGCTGCAGCTGCGCCTGAACCTGCGGGGACAGCGCAGGGCGGGCGTGGCGGCGACCCCCGGGGCGGCCGCGTCGCCCCCCCTTTCCCTTCCCCGCCCCACCCGCCCCCCGTCACTTGCCTGCTGGAAGGGCATCCTCAGCGCGCCCACGTTCACGTAGGGGGCCACCCGGCAGGCTTCGAACTGCGTGGCGGCACCGATGAGCACCCCTGGGGGAGGGCAGGGCAGGGTCAGCGGCGGAGAGACCACCCCCCTTCCCGACCCGCCGCGCACCCCACGCGGGTCGTTCCCCCTCTGCCCACCCCGTCACCCTCCTCCCCGGTACCTTTGTGCAGTTGGTTTTCTTGCTTTCGGCATTTGGCTCGTCGGTTCTGGAACCAGACCTGCGGGGAGGGGGGCACACACGGGGCGGGGGGTCACGGCGGCGCTGCCGCGGAGCTCCGAACCGAAAATAAACCCGAAAATAAACCCGCCGGCAACACCGCTGCTAATAATAATAATAATAACAACCAAAAAAATCCCAGATCGCGCGATCCCGCCGACAAAGACACCCGGGTGGGCTCCCCCAGCCAGGGCAGCCCCCGCTGCCGAGCTCCGAAAGGCAAAAAGGAAAAGGGAAAAAGAGTTAAAACACCCTGAAAATCGCCACGAGCGGAGTGCGCGCTCCGGGGACGTGATTTCCGAAGCCCCGGGTTCCCCTTTCCAAACCGAGGTCCCCAAAGACCGAAATTGCTCCCTGATATCCGATACTAACGCGCGCTAATGGGCCTAAGAAGCTCGTGCTCATTAATAAATAAATTAATTAGCTTTACCTCCCAGAAAAACTCAGCACCGAAGAGTTTAATGACTCTTTTTCCCCTTTCCCCCCTTTTTTCTTTTTTTTTCCGATTTTTGAGGGTGGTAATTACGATCCTAAAAGCTTCGCTACAAAGAAGTTTCGAATTTCTCTGTTCACTGGAGTGTAGCACAGAAGCGGAATAATTGTCTCATTATCATGATAATCTAATTTGCTTGCACAGAAAACGCTGCCCGTTAGACAAGAACATACTTTTAATATTGGAAATGAAATCGTTAAAATAAATTTGCAGATTAAAGTTCTGCTCGCTCAGAGAAAGGAGGGAGGGAAGGGGGGAGAGCAAAGTGAGTCTTTAAAACATCCCCGTTTTAACCCCGAGCTCTGCGCCGCATCCCGGCAGCCACATCCACCGAGGAATCTTTTTCCCCACGGCCAGAAAAAGAAAAAAAAAAAGTAAAAAAATTGCATTTTTTTTTTTTAGTCTTACTCGAAGAGACGAATATAAACGGGAATTTCCCCCGCCCTGTCATTTACTTCAGCCACGGAAAACCTGCCCAACAGCCACGTTCGCCCTCAGCCTCCCGTGGAAACGCACATTCCCTAATTTACAAATTAGCGGAGATACGAGGCAAAATATTATTGCAAAGCGCTTTTTTTTTCCGGCAGGATTTCTAGGGAATGGGTTTAATCTATGTAAATCTCCAAAAGTTATTATGCACCCTGCGATTTGGCATCATGGAAGCGCGGATTATGCGCCGCCTTTGTCGAGCACCTCCCTGCTCCATTTTCCACAGCCAACAACTTTTTGCTTTGGTTTTGTTATGATTTCGTGGACGGAAATAAAAAATAAATTTAAAAACCACAAGCAAACAAACCCAAACAAAAAACATCAACCAAATTTTTTTTTTAAAAAAAGGGGGGGGGGCTGGGGGAGAGGAGAGGGAAAATGATACTTTTATTTTTTATTTTTATTTTTTTTACGCTTCAGGCTCTGACAAAAGCTGCTCATTTGGAGTTTTTCGGTTTCCCGTGCCGGCTCTGCCTCTGTCCTTACAATCTTACACGATGCAGGGAAACCCCCCAAGGATTGAGCGCATAGTTGGGTGCAGATGGTGCCTGCGAGCACAAAGATTGAGGGGGAGTATCTGTTACAGAGATACTTTCTACCAGCTGCAGATGTTCGGGGCCTAAAACTGCTCCATGTGTTCATACACATAATGACCATCATTTTCTCTTCTTTTATTATCAGAACGGAAATACACCGGAGCAGCTACATTTGTTCTCATTTGAGGAATCACCTTCTTCCCCACTCTGCAGCTCATCCCGACAAAACTCGCAGAAACCAGCCCGGGAACCCATTTTGAAAAACTTTGGGAGGGTGAAAAGAGCAGGTTAAATCCAAGGAAGCCGCGGCTTCTCGGGAAGGGAGAAAGCTTAAAATAACCCCTGTTTATCCCAGACTTTCTGTATTTCATAAGCCCGAACAAAGCACCTCGCTCAATTTTTGTGCTGCTTCCCTCAAAATTTAAGAACTCCGTGGAGAAACGGTATATACCTATATATAAAAATTTTTTTTCACTTAAGGGTTTCTAATTCAGTTTGTGAATTAGAAACATCCCTGAAGTGAATCTGTGCGTCCGCGGATGAGTCTTGAGCAGGGAAGGAGAGGGACCACAACCCACACCATCACAGAGCCACCGAGCTGCTGCCGAGGCAGGGATGGAATAAACGCGGAGCTGGGAAAAAAACGCGGTGGAACGGAGGGATGGGGACACGCCAGGAGACAAATCCCGAGGAGGCAAAACCCTGGGAGGCGGTTTCCAGGTTTGCTGGGTGAAGCTGGGGCCGGGAGCTGTCTCCCCGGCAGAAGGATGAAGCTCTTCCCCATAATGTCCCCGGCTCTTCCCGAGCTGGCCCTTTCTCCCGAGCACACGCACCCCCGCGGGAGGGACCCCCGCAGCCCCGCTACCTGCACCCTGGCCTCGGAGAGCCCCAGCCGCTGGCTCAGCTCCTCCCGCATGAACGCGTCCGGGTAGTGGGTCTCGTCGAAAAGCCTTTCCAGCTCGTTCAGCTGCTCCAGGGTGAAATTCGTCCGGCTCCTCCTCTGCTTGATTTTCGTCTGCCCTTCGTCTTCCATCGCTTTCGCATCCTCCTTGCGCTCCTTCAGCTCTGGGGACACTGGGCACGACACAGCGGTCAGACCGGCGGGGCTGCGGGACGGGCACCGCGCGGTCCGGGGGCTCATCCCGCACCCGCTGCTGCCCGGGGGGATGGGGCGAGAGCCCCCCGGGGCCGGGACAGCCGGAGCGGGGCCTGCCCGCCCGGGCCGCACTAGGCCGCCTCCGCCGCCGCCGTTGCGGGCCCCGCCGCCGGCTGCGGGAACGCGGGCGGGGGGGAGCGGGGTCCGCACCGAGCCCTCCCCGCCGACCCCCGGGGGATGCGCTGCAACAGGTCCCCGGAGCCGAAGCCGCTCCGCGCCCCCCCCGCCCCCCGAGAGCCGCTTTTCCTTGGGTCCTTTTCTGCCGGAGACGCGCCCCGGGCCGGAGCGCGGAGCCCCCGCAGCGACCCCCGCACCGCCCCCCGGGGGCCGCCCGGCCCGGCCCTGCGCCGGCCGCGCTCCCCCAGCCCCGCGGCCCCGGTTTCCTTATTCCAGACACCCGCTCCGGGGATGCTCCGGGCGCTCCGCCGGTCCGAACAAAAGGGCAGCAGCGACCCGCGGGTGCCCGCAGCCCCTGGGACGGGCCCTGCCGCTTCCCCGCAGCGCCCGAGAGCTCATTAATAAATCGGGGCGGCCCCGGGAGCGGCCCCGAGCATCGCCCCGGGACCGGCCCCGCCGTACAGCCGCGGTTCCGCGGGGAGCCCCGGGGCGCGGAGCGGGGCTGAGCGCGGGCAGCGCGGCCCGGCCCCACGCGTGTCCGCGCGGCCCCGGCCCGCGGGGCCGGGATTTCGTTGGCTTCCCGTGGGATGCCGAGCGGGAACAAGATCGCCTTCCGAGCAAGTTAAATCCGTGTTGCAGTATTTTAATCTAAAAACTTCGAGGCTGGCCGAGGATCCCCCGCGGCCGGCGAAGCCCGGGAAGCCGCCCATCCCCACCGGGCGCAGCCTCCCCGCCGGCCCCGCGCGTACCGACCCCGCCGGGGGAAGCAGGGCAAGGGCGAGGGGAAGGGGAGCAGGGGGGGGTCCCGCGGTGCCGCCGTTACCGTCGCTGAGCTTCGGGGTGGCCGCCTCGGCCGCTCTCTCGGCGGCGGCGTCGGGCTCCCTCGGCGGGGTCCGCCCGCCCGGCCGCGCCGCGGGGCTGCCCGTGTCCTCCCGGCCCGGCTCCGCCGCCGCCCCGCCGGGCTCCCGCGGGCCGCGCAGGGGCCCGCTCTCCAGCACCTCGCGGTAGGTGATGAGCTCCTTCTTCTCCTTGGCTTTGGGATCAAACGACTTGGAGACGAACGCCGTGAGCTCCTCCATGGCTCAGGGGCGCGCTGCCCCGGCTCCCCGGGCGGGCATCCACGGCGCGGGGGGGAGGCGGCGGCGGCGCCCCGGGCCGTGCCGAGCCGGGCCGGGCCGTGCCGCCCGACGTGCAGGGCTCCCGGGGTCTGATAGCGACGCCGCGATTGAAGTGGCACTATTTATACTTTGCAAAGCCGGCCCCTTGTTCCCGGCGAATTACCTCCCCTCGGAGCTCTGAATGGACCCCTTCCTTCCTCCCTTCCTTCCTCCCCGTCCTTGCCGGCCGCCCGCCCGCCGCGGGGCACCGCGGCCACGGCACCGCCCGCCCGCCGCGCGCTGCGCCCTAATTAATTTAATTAGGAGCGGGACCGTGCGCGAGGTCCCGGGCGAGCGCGGCGAGGAGCGGGGCCGGGGCGGCGGGGGAGTGGCCACCGGGACGGCGGGGGGGCGGCGGGGGCCGCGCAGGCTCCGCGCACCGCCCCGCGGGGTCGGGTCAGCCCCGCATCCCGCACCGCCCCGCGGGCACGGCCAACGGGAGCTTCCGTGCGACCGGCCCCGCGGGAGCCGCGAAAGTTCGTCCGTGGGCGCCCGAACCCCCCCGAATTAACGCGTGGATAATTGGCGGTGACAAACGCGGCCGCGCCAGGAGCGGGCGCGCACCGAGGCATCGGATTCGGGCCAATTCCGCTATTTATCGCTAATATTGTTTCCCTTTGTTTTTCGAACCCCGTCACGGAGCACTTCTGTTGACGGAACTCACCTCTCCTGCACCTCCGCTAAATTCTAATAAATTATTCAGAATTGTTTAACTCTTGCCTGGGTTTCGATTTTTCATTGACCTTTGGGGGCGATGACTTCACAGAACGGGGCGTTTATTTACGGGGGCAGGTTGGGCATCGGGGGTGGAATTAGAGCGCGTCCAGCCCCGGTTACACACGACACGCAGCGATTCCCGATCGCCGCGCTCCCGGTTTCCGAAACACGCTCCCACGTGGCATTGTCGATCCCGGGGGGGATCGGGCACCGGGGGCTCGGTGTGTGACCCTTCCCGGCCCCTCCGGCCGGAGCTTTCGTTGATCCCACGCAGCATTCCGCCATTCCCGTGGCATGGATCGCGTGCTCGGGAGCTCGCGTTAAACCGACCGAATTCGGGAAAAGGCGGAATTAAAGCGAAGGATTCAATCGTTTCGTTGCTTTTCTCGCCGTTCCCGGCGGAGGCTCCGCTCGGTCCGCGCCCACCCGTGTCCGGGGCGCCCCGTCCCGCGGTGCCCACGGGGAGCGCTGCCCCTCGCCCACGGGGCTGTGAAACACTGACCCTGTCCGGGCTGTAAACACCGAGCCGCCTTAATTTCTGCGGGGTGGAACCCCCCGCGTCCCTCGGGCCGTTCTCCCCGCCCGGCCCCCACGGCGTGACACCAGTGCGCCCGTGGGTCGTCGCGGTTGTCATCGTGCTGTGCCCGATGCAGACAGCGCCCGGTGGGCTCTGAATCCCCCCGTGGGCAGCAGGACCCCCACCCGGGACCACCCACGCTCCCCTCCTGCCCCTCACCCGCACTGTGCCCGTGGGTCGTTGCGGTGGCCGCCGTGTCGGGTCACCGTGTTGGGCACGCTACAGAGAGCGTTCCGTGGGCTCTGCATCCCCCCGTGGGCAGCGGGACCCCCACCCGGGACCATCCACGCTCCCCTCCGGCCCGTCCCCCGCGCCGTGCCACGCACTGTCCCCGTGGGTCGTCGCCGTTATCACCGAGCTGCAGACAGCTGCAGACAGCGCTCCGTGGGCTCCGCACCGCCCCGTGGGCCCCGAGACCCCCTCCTCCGGGATCGGGACCCCCACCCAGGATCACCCACGCTGCCCTCCTGCCCATCACCCGCGGCGTGCCAGGCAGTGCGCCACAGTGGTCACCGCGCTGTGCCCGGTGCAGACAGCTCTCGGTGTGCTCTGCATCCCCCGTGGGCAGCGGGACCCTCCCGTGTCCCCCCCTGTCCCCCGCCCGTCCCGCGTGGGCGTCAACAGGGCAGCGCATCGATGTCTCGGCGCTCGCTGCGGCGGGCTGGGCGCGCTCGGCGGTGGATTGGCGCTGCCTGCCCGGCGGCCCGGAAGGCGCTGGGCTCGAACCCGGGGCCGCGGCGGCTCCGCGGAGGTACCGGGATAACGGGATAACGGGGGAAAGGGGGGTAAATCTGGGATAACGGGGGGGGCACGGCTCGGCGTGGGGGGTAAAGGGCCCTGCTGCAGGGGCTAAGGGTGCCCTGCGGCCACTCCCGGCGCCGCGCGGCCTCCGGTGCGGGGTAACGCCGATAACCCCGGTGCCGCACGTGGACCCGCTCACGGGGTTATCCCGGGATCCATCCACAGGGATATCCCGGGATCCACGGGGCTATCCCGGGATCCGCAGGGAGATCCGGGAGCCGCGATCCGCGGGGGTTTGGCCCTACGGGAGCTCCCGTGGGCACCGACGCACATCCCGGTGTTAAGGGGCTGGCGCGTGTTTTACATGGAAAATATGGGGGAAATCTGGGAATTTTGGAGGTAGTTGCCATGTCCACGGCTCGGTTTGAGGTCTTAGTGCGGTTCTCTGCTGTTTTCTGGTTGACCTGTGGTGTCCCCTTGACTTGGGGTTTATTCCCACGCTCTGGAGTCGTTTTGGTGGGAAAAGATCGTCGAGTCCAACCGTGACCCAGCACTGCCAAAACCAGCACTGAAATACAGCTAAAGATTTGGAGCTGGAATGTTAAGGAATGCTAAGGAGTGTTGTCATTATAAATGAATTCTTCTTCCATGACTTTGAATTGAGGCCAAACTTTCCTCGAGTCCAAAACTGATGGGTTTGGAAAAACACTGTTGATAAATTTGTCAAAGAAATCATGTTTTCTGTAACCACGCAAATGTTCTGGGTGTTTGGGGTCTTGTTCCTATGGGAGAGATTGTGAGAAAGTGGCAAAATTCCTGTGGTTCCTTGATCTTTAGATTTCAGAGGTAACTGGTTGTGGTGCCTCTCTTGGGGGCTTGGATTCAAGTGTTCCTCTTTTAGTGAACTTTAACTTGGAAAAGGGAAAAAGGCAGCCCTGGTTAAGGAGAAATAAATACAATAACTTTGACTTCAATGTCCCTTGTTTCCTGGCTGGAGCTCCAGCAGCATCTCATCCCAACTTGTTGCTTCTGCCCCTGGACTTGCAGGAACTCAGCAGGAAAGAAGAGAATCCTGGAATATTGCAGAGTATTTTCCATCAATACCCTTCTAATCAGTTATAATTTCTTAAAGGGTCCTGTTGTGGAGGTGCCACATAACCAGTGATTATTTGGGTTACAGCTGATCTATGATATGAAGTTATTACAGGGAATACAGGAATAATTTGAAACTCTTGTTTGAAAAGATGTGTTGCACTTGAAATAGTCCTGACATCTCTGAAACAAGATTGAACAGGGCCAGATGAATGAATTAATGAGTGTAAACTTCTTACTACTCTCTTTAAATAGTTTTTTTTTGGGGAAGTCTGTCTGTTTCCTATGTCATCTATGCTTTCTTTAGGTGGGATATTGGGAAGGAATTCCTCCCTGTGAGGGTAGTGAGGGGCTGGAATGGATTTCCTAGAGAAGCTGCGGCTGCCCCATCCCTGGAATTGTCCAAGGCCGGGTTGGATGGGGCTTGGAGCAACCTGGGATAGTTTATGGAAGTGTCTGTGCAGGAAAAGTGTGTCCTGGACTGCAGGGAAGGTCCAAAGCCCCTGGTGAAAGGTTGTCCCTGTCCAAGCTGTGTCACCTGTGGAATTCCAGGATACCCCTGTAGGACACAGCCACGGGGCTCAGCTGCACAAATAGTCCCAGGATCCACTTCTGGCACCTCTTTTCCCGTGGGAGCTCCAGGATGTGCAGGGCCTCACTCATCCCTGTGCCTGCAGCTCCTCCAGGCTGGATCCAGTGCTCCTGGAGCTCCTCCAGGATGTGCCTGGATGCCACAGGTCTTGTCCTGTCGTAGGGAATGGCCATGGCACGTGGTTCTTTGCTCCTGGAGACACAAAATTGAGATTTACATAATATATTTCCCAAGTTTCATGTGCTGCTTAATCCAGTTGTGTGTCCCAAGGGGGAGGAAAGCTGATGGCAAAACAAAAGACGTTAAAAAAATGGACAATGTATAAGTTGAAATGTGATGTTGTGGCTCATAATGATCCACATCAGAAATGTCTTTTATACTCTTTGTTTCTCAGGTCTCTTTTATTAATCTCCCTGTGATCTGTGAACCTTTAATTCAAAATCTCTGGGTTGTAGTTTCATTTTCCAAGCAGTTCTGCTCATTTTGAGTTTCAGGTTCACGTTCATTTGCAGGCTGTTCTATCAGTGTATCCTTGAAGAGCTTTATTTTACTGTTCAATAACTGTTAGTGCCTTGGAGCTCTGGAAATCTTTTACTACAAGGGGAAAAAATTGACTGCACAAGATGGTGTGTTGATATAAATTGACATTCCTTTGTGGGATTGTCAATTAAAGTTGCAGTTCCTTAAATGAGATAAACTAGTCTCTAAAGTCCTGCCTCTCTTTGCCAAAATCTGTGTGGAATAACTTCAGTAAGATGGTAGAATAACTTAATTTAAGACAGTAATTCTCTTGCACAGCAGCTTAGGAGGATTCCTAAAATTTTGCTGGTTTGGGTGGAGATTTGCTGGTTTAATCTGAGTATTTAAAAACCTTTAAAAAGGACCAAGTTCTGAAGTGCTGGAAACAGAATCTGTTGAGAAGTGAAGTAAATAAATAGAGGGATTTGCAGCAGCAAAGCTTGGGAATGGCTGATTTGTGGGCTGATAGCTTGGAGTCGTGTGCCAAGGAGCCGTCTGGGATCCACAGGGATTTGGCTCCATAGGAATGAGTTTATGGAGCTGCTGTTTATTGTGGCAGTGGGTGAACTCTCATGAGCATCAAAACAAATCCAGGTGCTTAAGGAGTTGTCTTGTATTTTGCATTGAGCTGTTGGGGAAAATATGGGAATTCTTGAGGTCGATGCCAAGTCCAGAATTTGGTGTTTTCCAGTAGGATGTTCCTTTCCCTCCTGACTCATTCTTGCTGCAGCTTCCTCACCCTGGCTCCAGGGCTCTGATAGTCCTTAGGAGGAGTTTCAGTCCTCCTTAAGGGTGAATTCCTCCTCTATGCTGTTCCCACCCTCTCCCTGTGGATCAGGAGCTGCTGCATCGGGGGCAAAAAAAGTGCGAGAAAAGGGAAAGTTGGGATGGAGAAAATGAACCAGTTTGGCCCATCCGTGCTGGAAACTGGAGGATCAGGGAAGGGAACGGAGCTGGGGAAGGGTCTGGAGCACTAGAAGGAGCTGAGGGAGCTGGGGGGCTCAGCTGTGAATGTGTATATATATATATATTTGTATATATGAGAACCAAAGTCCTGCAGACACGAGATGTTCTCCCAGTTGTGCCGTTTGTTTCCCGCAGTGGGAGGATGGGTCGCCGCTCCTCGGACACGGAGGAGGAGAGCAGGAGCAGGAGGAAGAAGAAGCACCGCAGACGTTCCTCCTCCAGCAGCTCCTCGGACAGCAGGACCTACAGCCGGAAGAAATCGGGAAGGAAATCCAGGTCCAGGTCGCGCTCCCGGGATCTCCAGTCCTGGTCCCACTACGAGAAAAGGTGCGTTTGTAGGAATTCGTTGTTGCTGATTTTTACAATCTGAGCTGGAGCTGGAAGTGTTTGAATCGGGTTTTCTCTGATTTCTTGGTGAGATGTTTTCATTTTGAGCAAAGTTAGAAAGCAGACCCACCCCCCTGACCAGAAAAACCCAAACCACCTTCAGGTTCCCTAAAGCAGGGAATTTGGAGATCCAAAGGGAACTTCCTCATTAAAACAGGTAAAACCCAGCCAAGTAAAATAACTTCCTTTTTTTGTCCAGCAGGGACATCTTCAACTATCCCAGGTTGCTCCAAGCCCCATCCAACCTGGCCTTGGACACTTCCAGGGATCCAGGGGCAGCCACAGCTTCTCTGGGCAACCTGTGCCAGGGCCTCCCCACCCTCCCAGCCAAGAATTCCTTCTCAATATCCCATCTAATCTTGTCCTCTGGCAGTGGGAAATCATTCACTGTGTCCTGTCCCTCCTTCCCTTGTCCCCAGTCCCTCTCTAGCTCTCCTGGAGCCCCTTTAGGCCCTGGAAGGGGCTCTCAGGTCTCCCTGGAGCCTTCTCTTCTCCAGGTAAACCCCCCCAGCTCTCCCAGCCTGGCTCCAGAGGGGCTCCAGCCCTTGGAGCATCTCCATGATCCCATCCTGGTTGTCTCAGCCTGACTTGTGGTCAGGAAAACCCTCCTTGTGTCTGGCTGCCCTGTGAATGTATTGGGAGCTGCTCCTGACAGCCCTTCCTGGAGCTGGTAGAAGAGGGATGAGGTGACTGCTTGGGAGGAGTGTCTCAGTTGTTCATCTCCACCCCCTTCCCTGTGCTCCTTCCCAGCCTCTCCATGCCCTGAGGATGGATGGATGGTGGGATGCCAAGGGCTGCCATCCCTGGGCTGCCATCCCAGCCCTGTGAGCTCTGATCCCGTTAGTCCATGGCCATCTCCCAGACACACCAGGGCTCCCAGGGGGATTAGGGGCTGGACGGGGACCAGTGACTGAAATTGGGGCCAGAAAAGACCAAAGGCTCTGGTTTTAGGGTCTGGCTGGAGCCTTGGCTGTGCCCTTAGCTTGGGACATTTGCCCCTGGCAGTTTTACACGCTGGGTCCTGCTGGATTTATCCCTGACCCTGAGGAATGAAAAGCAGCAGTTTCTAAGATTCCTGTTCCTCATCCAGCAGGAATGCTGCATTCCTTTGCCAGGTGAATACCTGTTCTTTAGCAGTTAACCTGTATATCTCTTCCAGTTTTCCAGCTCCTGCAGCCCCTTTCCCTTGTGCTGGATAATCACATGTCACACTGAGCACACCCTGAATTACAGGAGGGTTTCTGTGGTGTTATATTTTGATATTAATCAAACAATCAAAAATATGGAGGTTCTCGTTAGTATTTTAATTGTTGCTTAGTTAACTATTAGGGAGATGGAGAGGAAATCTTAAAATTAAGACCTGGAAGATATCCCCATTCCCAGTTTTGGGGTTAGTTGGAGTAATTTAGTATCTATTCTTTTAGTTTTCTCCTTTGTGTATAAGAGTTTATTCTTCGAATAAAGGAAACTGAGTGGGAGGGGCACCCAGTGACTCCTGATTGAACTCAGGAGGAAACTCCCCAGCTCAGATGGAATAAATTAACACTGATTAGTTGATTAATAAGAGCACTTTGAGGAGAGCAGCTCAAACTCTGGTGGCCTGGGCTGTGTGTTTGGGAGTAGCAGCTCTTTGAGGCAGCACTGCCCATGTGAACGGGAGTCCCTTATTCCAGAGGAATAGCGGGATTTGAGGCTTCTGGGACACAATCCAAACCCCACAGGTTGGTGCCTCGTTTTGAAGTCATTTTCAGGGGTTTTGTGCCTGTTCCTTTGGGTTTGGAGGGGCAGTGACCCACTCCCAGCCTGGTTGTGTTGCAGGCGCAGGCACAGATCCAGCAGCAGCTCTTCCTACGGCTCCAGGAGGAAGCGCAGCCGGAGCCGCTCCAGGGGCAGAGGCAAATCCTACAGGTCCCAAAGATCCAGGTCAAAAAGTAGAACCAGAAGGTAAGACTCTTCCCTAGGGAAAAAAAAAAAGTATTTTCACTGTAACAGCATGAATTTAAAATTTCCTGATTAGTGAGCTTGGAATACACCAGAAATAATGGATATGGGTGTTCCTGCAAACTCCATCCATGCCCCTTGGAACTCTTTCCTGATTTGAAATCCCTCTGGAGTGCTTTTCATCTAATAAATCTTTCAGTTACACTAGTGAAACAATTTGGGGAGAAGTTATTTGTTTTGCATCTGACCAAGTGCAAAAAACACGAATAAAGTCACTTGTTTTCACAGAATCATCTTAAAATTCCTTGTGGATTTTTTTTTTTCGGTTACTGGTTTCCATAATTCCCAACATTGGCTCCCTGAAGATCAGAATAAACTTGTTTTCTCATCTGTATTTCCCTTGGAAAAAAATGAGTATTTAGTTATGCAATTTTTCATTAATATTTAAGATATCTACAGTGCTGAATTTTGTCATAAATTGCTTTGTGACAAATGAATGTTTTCAATAATACCCACGATTTCAATATTTAAATCTGGCTCAGAAGTTGCAAATTGTGCTATGAAATCTGCTTTACTTTTTTAATTGGAAGCAGCTCAATTTGTGTGTATTTTTCAATTAAGAAGTTTGGTAACTCAAGTTGAACCAGAATTACTGTTAGCATTTTCAATTGGGTTTAAATTAATTGAGTGTATCAGGCATATCAGAGCTGTTTTGGTGTGTATTTACAAATCTTCAGCCAAGTAATTTTCTGTTTCTGCACTAAGAATTTATTAAATCTGTTATTTATTTATATTTATTTATATTTATATACCAAACAGTAGAATTGTTGCCTCTAAATGTTGAAAAATTGTTGTTGAAAAATGAGAATATCCCACTTTCTCTTATTTGTATTCTACCCTGAGTTTTTCCCAGCTGTTCATTACAATAGTTGCCTGAACACTTATTGCTGCAGTGCCTTTGTAGTAGAAATTTGGTTATTTAAACTGCCTGATGTGTCTCTGAGAATCCTCAGCATCGGAGCTGGACACCCCAGATAAGCTGCTGTGCTGCCTGTGGAAATATTCCTGGGAATATCCACCTTTTCTGTCAAGAAAATCAGTTTTAAGCCACTGAAAAGTGCAAAGGATGAGGTGAAAATGAAGGTTTTTCAGCCTGTCACCTACTCAGCGCTAGGAAATGTGATAAACTGGTTTGAAAAGGGTTTTTATTGTAATAATACAAAATTGCAGCTTTCATTAGCAATAGTCTAATGGTCTCTTTTCCAAGGGGTTTGATGATTTTAGTCATCCTTGCAATATATGGAAATTAGGCACCTAAAAACATGACAAATACTGGGTATAAAATATTTTATGTGTAAAATATTCCAGCTTTGCAGTCCTATAGAGGGTAGAGCTGCATGTTGCTTTAAATGCATTTCCTGTGCACAGACGTGATTCTTCAGGGAAAATATTTATAAATAACATCCTAAATGATACCAGAAGAGTCTAAAAGCTTAGAACTAAACCCAACAGGACACATTAAGCCCTTTATTGTCATTTTTTTCCCCGAGTCTGCTGCAATGTTACCCTGAGAAGCTGTGGATTAATCTGATTTTTGGAGCAGAGTTAAATCCTTGCTGCTACTCCAGGCCTGTGTTTGCCCTGCTTGTGGTGTTGAGGCAGTTGCAGTGATGCCAAATAATCCCCTTTTTTGCCTCAAAAATCACTCAATCCAAGGGCTGACCAGTTTTCCACAGAGGACTCAGGACTTCAGGATTCTTCAGGCTGGGAAAGGGGTCCTGGGGGAAAGAGGGAATGTGATGGAGGGGTGTAAAAAATCAAGATAAGAGTAAAAATGGTGGGAAAAGATGATGAAAGATTGAGGGTTTCCCACCTCCTCCCATGTCTGACCTGGGGCAGGTGTGGAGGGAGGGAAGTCTGGAGGTGGCTGGTCCTGGGAAATAAAAGGAGATGGATCTTAGGGATAAAGGAATTAAGCTGTGGAGCTTGTGGATACCACAAGTGGAATTAAAAAAGAAATCAGACAAGGAAAATCCGCTCAAATGTAGAGGTGCAGAGACAGTTTGTCTTGGGAAATGTAGGAATTTGTACTGCTGAAGTGGAATTTTCATAAATTCCAGCTGGAATTCCTCGTTTTCTTTGCCTGGGGTGGGACAACTTCTTTTCATGTGACTTTTACAGGTGAATACTGAAGGAAACACCTGTAAATAACTGATAAAAGTAACTCAGGCAGCACCCTGAGTTCCTGCAGTGAGCAGAGTGGCACCCACTGGAATATTCCTGTGGATCCCCAACTTCTGCATTGCCAGGGGAGGGAGGGAAAGCTCCTGCCCCACAGGAGAGCAGCAGTTTGGGATGCAGCAGGAAAGGGAAGATCATCTCTGTGCCCCCTGGATTTGTAACATTCCCCTTGTACCTTCCCAGTATTGTCACCTTTAGGTCATTTTAAATTTAATTTTATTGATTATGGGTCTGACCTTAGAAAACAAGCTTCTTGTTGGGAGTGAAGATCCATCACGTGGTGTCTTGAAATCCCTGGAATTGTTTTTGGTGTCAGTCATGCAGGTGGCACAAATTCTGTGTCCTGTAATGTCTTTTCCCTCCACAGTCCCCTGTCAAATTAGGATTTAAGTTGGTTTTTCAAGGTAATGAAGGTGTTGTTAAAAGTCTATGTGGCTGCAATGCATTTTTTTTAAAATAACTTTAATAATGAAGTTATTTTTAACTTTAATAGGTGTTTTATTTGAGTGAATGATCTACAGATCTCCAACAGTGTAAAACACTGAAATACATCCAATTTTAATTGGGAAAGCTGGATTTTTATAATGACACATTCAAAAAGATTTTAAATAGCTTTTATTTGTAACCTAAACCATTTTTTGTACTTCATTTGAGAAGAAAACCTGTGCATTTATAACTATTTTATTTTAGAAGCAGTTTATAGAGTCAAAAAAGTGAGACTTCCTAGTAATGCTTGTGCTGCATTTGAGAAGATAAGGGAACTTGTGCATTTACAACTATTTTACTTGACATGTGTTTTTTTGAGTCAAAAAAAAATGAGGCTTCCTGGTAATGTTTGTGCTATATTTGAGAAGAAAACTTGTGCATTTATAAGTATTTTGTTTTAGAAGCCGTTTTTATAGTCAAAACAATGGGATTTCCTGGTAATGTTTGCACTTTATTTGAGAGGAGGAGAAAACTTGTGCATTTGTAACTATATTATTTGGGATGCAGTTTTTTTATAGTCATAAAAATGGGGCTTCCTGGTAATGTTTGCACTTTATTTGAGGAGAAAACTTCTGCATTTGTAACTCTATTATTTGGGATGCAGTTTTTATAGTCATAAAAATGGGGTTTCCTGGTAATGTTTGCACTTTATTTGAG